ATGTCAAGAAATCAAAGGGAAAACTATCAAATGTACACATCCACTCTGCTTCAGTACAATTATTGCTATACTTAAGTCTGTTACAATTCAGAATTTGTTTTCATCTCAAATTGCTGTCTAAATTGTCTAGTGGCGCTCTGGTGGCATAGCTGTAGGAAGCTGTGCTGCTAATCCAAAGGCTGAGACTCTCTGGCTGTTCAACTCCACCAGTATTGCCTCAGCAAACAGGCAATTTTCTCTCACACAATTTATAGCCTCAGAAAGCTATGGAGATTCAACCTTACATCAGTTCTAACTTGACAACCAATTGATAACTACAAAATACAAAGATACCATAGTGAATGGCTTTAAAAATCCATGATGTTATGTGCCATGAGTCACCTGAGAGTCAGTGATCCCACATACAACAGCTCTGACCCTGCTGTATCTTGTGCCAATTTCATCCCCTTTACCCCAGTCACCGAGTCAATCCATCTCACCCAGGGTCTTCCTCTCTTGTGCTATCCCTCCACTGTTTCAAGCATGATGTCCCTCTCCAAGAACTGTCCATCCTTTTTGGCAACATACCCCAAGTATGTCAGACAGCTTCAAAACCCTTGCCTCCCGGGAGCAGCCTGGTTTAACCCTCTCCAGGATGGACCTGCTCTCTTAGCAGTCCATGGTATATTCAATACTCTTCTCCAGTATAATTCGAAAGCATCGATTCTTCTTCTAGCATCCTTAGTCACTCACTGTCCAGCTCTCCGATACATAGCAAGTAAGGGCAAAGACTAAGCCTGGATCAGGCACACTGTAGTCTCTAGACTGACATCGTTGCTCTTTAGTACTCTGGAGAAATCCCTGATGGCAGACTTTTCCAAGGCAACTCATCTTCTGATTTCCTGGCTGCTGATGCCAAGAGTATTGATTGTGGAGCCAAGCAAGCTGAATCTGTTAACAATCTCAAATCTCTTTTCCGTCTATCATGCTGCTGCTGACTCTCCCAGTGATAAAAATCTGTCTTCTTGATGTTGACCTTGAGGTACAGCAATATTGAGGACTGTAGTCTCTGACCTTCTGCAGCAAATGCCTCAGGTCCTCCAAAACCACAAACTTACGGTGTCAACTCCAGCAGAAGACCCCATCAGTTATTGAAGAAAGTCCTTGTTTCCATCAGATTTGTAGATCCACTATTCTCCGGAGACTTTCATGCAATCTAGCCTCTCTGGCTTCAAAGAGCTTCATAGTAGAGGCATATGGGTGAAAAAGACCCACTTCATTCCTTTGGGTTATTTCTTTGCTGAGGGCCCCTTCTCAGTTTGCTTTCCTCCTCTTTTCTGTCTAGTGATGTAAAAGGCATTTTCTCTCTAGAGAAAAGGTGTTACAAGTCACATCCTAAACAAACTCCACCTAGAGGTCATGATGCCATTAGGAGTACAGCGTTCTACCTTTAATCCTTCTACAACTATTTGGTTTATCAGATCACTGGGATTATTACACATCTTCTATATTAGGTCATTATATACATGCATTTTGAGGGGACATAATTCAATCCATGACACAGTGATAGGAGTAGGTTTTAGGGTAACATTTCACCCTATTTTTAACAATATTCAGAACTCTGAGACACCGCCAGTCTAAAGTTTGCCTAAAATTCCTTGTATACCTTATTATTTTATAAATATTATCTGGTATTAGCTACTGATAAACTGAATTTAGCTTGTATTTGACCTCAAGTTTCTTAAAAACTTCATACATGGAAAACATTCTTCCCTGCTCATCTCTTACATGAACAAGCATTAATTAGGTTGGTAAAGGGTAGGAGAGGTGTGTGTTTGCCAATTCAGCTTCAGGAGTCCAGCTTCAACATGCAGAAATGAGTCTTGGTCCACTGATACACACACAGGACAAGCTAGGTTCCAGATGGCCTGTCAGAATCAAGTCTTCTCCAGGACTTTAGGTTAAAGTAGCAATGGAATGCAGTCACCTAAAGACAAGGCTATCCAATGCCTGACCTCTAGTAAAATAAAAATATGGGGCTGGACTAGGGATTCAGACGTTTTGGGCATCAACACTGTTAAGCTGATGTTAAAATATTTTTATCCAATGACAAGTTACTTTAGATCTTGAATAAGGCACTGATGGACAGGAATAGGTGATTTGGAAAGATTGGCTAAATCGTAATATTGAAAACACAACCATGTCAGATGTTACTGGGGTTCACCAAATATTTAAGTGTTTGTTTACTTTCGAAGTATCTGGTTGCTGGTATATGGCCCGAGATGTGGCTGGAAGTGATCAAAGTCTGACCCTTAGGAATAACACACAAATCCTCCAACTTTTCCTTTCATAATGACCTTTTAGGTCACAAGTTGTAAATTATGAGTGGAGTTAAGTCTGACCAAGACTTTATGGAAGCAGTAGTTTCCGTTATTACCACTAAGCATACCATCTTCAACATAGGGAGACCTCACATTACAAAGTGACTACAAGGGCAGTTGCTATGTGCCATCGAGTTGCTTGCGACTCATAGTGACCCTATGTACAACAGCCCTAAACTCTGCTCTATCCTGTGCCAATCGCACTGTCTCTGACACTCTAATCCAGATTATCCCAGTCACTGAATCAATCCACCTCACAAAGGGCCTTCCCCTCCTGCACTGTCCCTCCACCCTCCCAAACATGATGGCCTTCTCCAAGGACCGGTCTCTCCTCACATGTCCAAAGTATGTTAGATGGAGCCTCAGAATCCTTGCCTCCAAGGAGCCACCCAGTTTAACCCTTTCCAGGACAAATCTGTTTGTTTTCCTAGCAGTCCATGGTATTCTCAATACTCTTCTCCAGCACCACAACTCAAAGGCATCAATTCTCCTATCCTACTTGGTCATTGTCCAACTCTCTGATGCATAACAAGTGATTGCGAAGACCATGGCCTGTATCAGATGCACCTTAGTCTCTGAGATGCACCTTAGTCTCCAGAGAGACACAGTATGAGCCTAGGGAAAGAAAATTATGGGCTAGGCTGGGACAAATCAGAGAAAGGAAATGTATACAAGAAATGTTTTGAATAGAGAACTTGCTAAATAGAAAACTCATTGGTTCTGATAAATATTTATTAAGCACCTATTATATGTAAGGCACTGTATAGGATACAAAGAAATGTAAGTCACCCCTCTGAGTTTACAATCTAGTGGTGGAGATAACATATGTACGCAGATTTTTTTTTTCAGATTATTTTTTTTGAAAAATCAGACAAAAAGACACTTTACAGCATGATGATGAAAAGGTTATAGACTGAAATTAGGCTTGTATTCAAAATTCAGTTACCCATTTTAACAGCTGTGTCACTTTGGGCACGTTATTTAACTTCTCTAAATATCAGTTACATCATATATAAAACAAAGAACAAAAAGTTCAAGCCAGCTGCTATCTAGTCGATTCCAACTCTGGAGGCCCCATGTACTGCAAAACAGAAATGTTCTCCACAAGGTTTAAAGGCAAGTCACCTAAAGGCCTTTCTCCTGAGGCGCCTGTGGATGGGTTTGAACTGCCAACCTTTGAAGTAGCTGAGCACTCAACCACTGGCAGCACTGAGGAACTTCCTTGGTAGTTTCTCTACTACCATGAAACAGATACTGAGTCTTGGCAAGCTGCAGACAGAGCAGGCCTGCCTGCAGGCTTCCCTAGGCTAGACGTCTGTACAAAAGCAGACGGCTTCATCTTTGCACTGCAGAGTTGCTAGTGGGTTCAAACCACTGTGCCACCAGTGTTTCTGGAGGAGAGTCCAAAACCCTGAACATAAAAGCAAATTCCAACTGACAGCAAACCTCTATCTGGTTTTTGAGGCTGTAAGCCATTACAGGATCATCTTTCTCCCATGAACTGGCTGGCAGGTTTGAACTGCTGATCCAACATGTCACACAGTATGCCACCAAGCAAGCTTGAGGATAATGATAACTCACTGCTGCCCATACAGTTGACTCATACCTGACCCTCTACTAGATTTCCGAGGCTGTAAATCACAACAGAAGGTTGTCTGTCTCTTTCTCACAGAAATGCTGGTGGATCTGAACCACCTGAGACACAGTCTTTCTTTGGATCAGCAGTGCAACTTGCTGCAGATTGTAACACCACAACTCCCTCAGGATAGTCACTGTTGTCATATACTGTGGAGTCAGAACCAACTCCAGGTTTTCAGCAGCAGAATTAGCACACAGCAGACTGCTCATCTTTCTCCTGTGGGGCAGCTGGTGGATTCATACTGCCTGTCTGTCTTCAGGTTGGCAGTGCAGCTCCTTACCACCAAGTCACTGGAGCTTCAAGACAGAAACAGTACATATTTCATAGGTTTGTTAAGAAAATTAAAGAATCTCTTTTTTACAAAACTTTAGGCTGAGCACTTATTCCTTAACAACACTCAGTAAGTGCTATTATTATACTAGTTGTTCACTTAAAGAGGTCAGTGTCCTAAGAGTTTTAAGAGAAATGGACTAGGAGCTATACGACAACTGTGCTGTAAGCAGCAGTGCAGTTCTCCTATCATTTTGCCTTTTCTTTCCTGTTACAGCCTCTGGTTTTTTAAAGTACAGTGACACCTGGGACCCAAGTCCTCCTGTTTAGAAAAAAAGTATGTCTGAGTATCTCCTCCTGACATTTATCCTGCTGTCTGAAAACCTCTCCAAAATGTTGGCTTTTTAGAGTCATATCCTAATTTCAGGATTCCTACATCAGTTCTATAATGCAGTAGATTCACCAAGGCAGAAAAAGGAAATACAGTATTTTTTCACATATAATGTGCCTCTGATAGTCTTCTGAAACTATACAACTCCTTTGTGTCTCAGTTTCCTATATGTGCCATATGTGTTATTATGTATGTGCATATTTGTGTGGGAACATGACATACACAAAAATACTGTAGCAGCCAGACTGGGTGGAATAATCATATGATGAGTTTAAGATAGGCAAGACATACGGCTAATTTAATGGCAATTCTTTTTTTCTGACTAAAGCTTTTACCCTACTCAGTCTATTCCCTGTCTGGCATAACGTCGCTGATGCTGAATAACTGAAGACTTAGAACTGAAGACCTTCCCACATACGCCACACTCATAAGGCTTCTCTCCAGTGTGCACCCTCATGTGTCGAGTAAGGCGACATCGCTGGCTGAAGGCTTTTCCACACTCATTGCACTCATACGGCTTCTCTCCGGTGTGGATTTTCTGATGCTGAGTAAGGGGTGAGCGGTCAAAAAAAGCTTTCCCACACTCACTACAGTGATAGCGAGGCTCTTCAGTGTGAGATTTCTGATGCCTATTTAGAGATGAGATGCCATAGAAAGCTTTCCCACACTCACTGCACTCGTAAGGCTTCCTGCCAGTATGAGTGAGCATATGTCGAGTAAGGATACTTTTCTGGCTGAAGGATTTCCCACACTGATTACATTCATATGGACTTTCTCCAGTATGAATTCTATGATGACGAGTAAGGGATGAACGATCAAAGAAAGCTTTTCCACAGTCACTGCATTTAAAGGGCTTCTCTCCAGTATGGATTCGCTGGTGTACAGTTAGGGACGACCGGTCGAAGAATGCCTTCCTGCATACGTTGCACTCATAGGGGCTCTCCCCCGTGTGAGTCATACGGTGTCGACTGAGGCTGCTCCTGTGACTGAAGACCTTCCCGCACTCGTGACACTTGAAGGGCTTCTCTCCAGTGTGAGTCCTCCGGTGGCGGATGAGGGATGAGTGGTCAAAAAAGGTCTTTCCACAGTCATAGCATACGTGGTCTCTCTCTTTAATTAGAATTTCTCGGGGTGAAACTGACCCCAGCTGGAAATTTTTCTCTTGGGAAAAAGATGTCTTGTATTTATCCATTGCAGGGGTTTCTTCCTCTGTTTCGAACATATCTTCTGTTAGAAGAACTTCAAATATAGGAGACTGAAGATCTCTATTTCCAAACGTTTCACTCAGTGTTCCTTCAGAGATTTCTTCTTCTGAAGCGTCTTCAATCTCACGCTTAATCTCCAAATCTAGAACAAAGAGGAAACACAGATACAATCTCTTTTCTTGGCTACAAAAAGGAAACTATTATATTAGAATGAGATATTATGATAAGTCTCATAGTAATGTCTGGGCACTGGATTGTTGCACTAAAGAATGGTTTTACAGTATAGAGACAGACTGTGACTTAAAAACACATAAGTCCAGGGAGATAACTGACAGTGGAGACTTCAGAAAATAGTATATACACTAGAGGCACAGCAAGGATAACCAGGAGAATGTGGTATATGGAAATCACGGTGATAAACTGAATGTAACACCTTGACATGACAGACTGGAGAAGAGAAACATTTGGTAAAGAGAGACAAATAATACTTTAATGTGTAAGGGGGAAAAAAAATGAAAACTGGTGAATGATATAAAATAAACAAGAACTCTCCATGGTTTAGGGCATGGATGTATCAGACTGCTAAATGAAAGTTCAGAGGTTTGAATACACCAGTTAGGGGGCAGTTTCCACCCACAAAGATTTATGGCATTGAAAATCTGTCTAGATGGCAATCAGTATTTCAATCAGAGCAGAAGAAGGTACCTCCCCACCTCCACCCCTACCCCCCCAAAAAAACAGATTCTGCCCTGGCCTATTCACATTCGATTACCTAGTGAGACATTCTCTGGAAACTCTCTCTCTTCAGGTCCACAAGGGTCAACTATCCAGGCCTCTTCATCCCTCTTCAACTGAAAAATTGTGTCAGGTTGAGGAACTGGAAGTCCTGCTCATGAAAAAACAAACAAGTCATGGTGTCAGTATGTGATAAAAGTACACAACTGCACCAAAGCTTAATCCAAGACTTAACCTTTCAGAGAGAAAACTCCCTACAGAGTTCGCTATCAACACACAGACTGTCATTCAGGTACATGAGGAATGTAGAGTAACTTGTAGGGATGTCTGACTAGAGGCCAAGATTGAGGCTCCAGAATATGAGAACTTCAGCCCCAGAAGTAATCAGCATGTAGTCAGAAAGCTAGCACCATTCCCCTAATGTTATTCATGTGCTTATTCTTCTCCTTGAAGGGAACACGAAGTTCCCAGCATAGCACTGGGAGTACTGAGGGAAAAGGGTTCTTGGATTAGGGAAGGAGATAAAAAGATGATCTTAAGCAAAAATGATGTGTAAAGAAAAAGCACATTTCTTTTTACTTGTTCACCCTTTATCATTATGTTTTCATTTAAACATGTAAGTCGTGCTTGTTGTAGGAAAAATTAGGTTATGTGTTAAGTAAAAAGAAAATCACCTTTCAAGCTTTTCCCCCCTTAGATCTTATTCATTCTGGTACCAAAAGATGCTTGTAAGTATATTCTGTTAAATATTAGATAATGAAATAAATGCTGAGGTTTAAACTCAATTTTTAATAATAATAAATAAATCTTTTCTTTCAATTAATATATATTTCACCATTTTAATGGCCACATGATACTACACTGTAAATGATTTAACCAACAATCAATGTAATTCATCACATTAACAAAGCAAAGAACAAGAACCACATGATCCTATCAATTGATGCAGAAAAGGCCTTTGACAAAATCCAACACCCTTTCCTGATTAAA